TAGATAGTCTCCAAATGCCAATTCAAACTATCTGATCAAAGACTAAGTAAAGAAATACGAGTTTGTCCAAGCTTATACACCAGCTTTGTTGCTTCTTGTCCCTTTTTGATGACTTTGTATACCTCAGTTTTCTGTTGTGACTCTCAGAATGACCTCCTTCTCCTGGAGTGTTCTTGATGTTTCAAATCATTGCACTAGAAATATCATGACATGACGTGTAGCTTGTTCAGTGTGCAAGTTATTAATGAGAATATGAAGAGCGCTGCACCAACCAGTGCTATCAGCTCAGCAGCACAATGACTCATCGTGAATGAATAAACTCATTTGGATTAGATAACATTCATCATTATTAACAAAGGATTAATGAAGCGTAAACTGCTTCCAAGAGCTCGTATGGAGATGAGATGTGAAACCAGCCAGCCGTGATGACATAGTACACGTTGTAATATATGTTATGTACAGTAGAGTAGACTAGGAGACGGGCTACTCTCAGGATAAAAAGGTCCTCTGCACAAACAAAGGATCTGTGGTATTAGTTCATGACGGAGAAATGGAGGTCTGGATAAATAGTTGCTAGAACACCCCGAAGCCCGAAATGCTCTGATCCCTGGAGGTTTTTTTTCCGGGGGGTATTGTATGACCTCTTGGTGATATCCAACCGCTGCGGCTCCATCATTTCAATTCATTCTCAGAGCCAGGTTTCAAATGTCACCGCCTGGTTGCCAAGAACAAGGCCAATGAGCAATGGCTTTCTTTGTTTCCTCAGCAATGTACCTACTTTTTAATCACATTTCTGAACCCTTTTGATGATACACCTTTTTATATCTTGATCTTTTTTGGCTATATTTTAACCGGATGATGGATTTAAGCCATCAGACGCCTGGATCTTAAGTTATCAGAGAAACATGCTAAGCGAATTAACCGAGAATCTGAGAACTTGAAGGAATGTTTCTGGACGTGAAATTGTGTCATTCAGTGTTTTTTAACCTGGTCCATTTATTATGGGCAGTAGGAGGCATACTGGATAATTCAGAGCCTGGTTGCCAAGAACAAGGCCAATGAGCAATGCCCTTCTTTGTTTCCTACGCAAAAAAAAGTCACAAGACATTCAGCTTTTGGCGTCTTAAAAATGGTAAGTTAACTGCATTAAAAAGACTAAGAATTACGAGGCCTGTGTTATGCATTTTAAATGTATTTAAACGACGTTCAAACCTAGAGAAATCCGAAATTGTAATCGATGTATTGTTCTGTTTCACTTGTCTGTTAGTAATGCTGTTTTATCCAATTTGAAAATGTGTCAATGTTGTGGTTGTTGGCAAAAAATGTAATAAATTCCCCTTTTTAACAGTTTTTCTGGCATTTTTTATCCAAGATTTTGATCTTTTTGGACAATAGTTGGATATTGAGTTATCAGACAGACTCAAAGGACAGTTTTTTTTTAACGTGAAATTGTGTCATTTCGTGTTTTTACCAGTTTTAACGACATGTTCCATTTATGTTGCACAGTGGGAGACATCTGCGGATAATTCAGCTCCTGATAAGCTGTAGATGTTACAATGACAGCAACAACAACACCCATAATCTCCCACTAATACTTCCCATTGCCACCAAACTATCTTTTGTTCTCGTTCAAAATGTGTGACCCCTAGCAGAAGACAAACTGTACTGTACTAAATCAAAGAGAAGTATAGCTGAAGAGAGCAATGTAAATGTGGTTCTCACAGTGGGAGGTCCAGCAATATCAATTGTTGAATTTCTTAATTATTTAACATCCTGCAGTGCACAATCCCACTGAGAACATGTATGACGATGACAATACCTCCCAGGTTATGTTTGACTGCATGCATTGTTATCAATAATCCACCCATAGCTGTGAAAGACATGCATTTCTAAAGCATGTTGAATCCTTGCTGAGACTCTTTTCTGTTTGAGCACCCCCTCCAAGTCAAACCAAATCAAAATGGGGCCCAAAGGAAAGTTTGGGAACCATTGTTACACCTTGTGTGTGTGTGTGTGTGTGTGTGTGTGTGTGTGTGTGTGTGTGTGTGTATATATATATATAGTATAAACAGTTGTATGTACTCGTGTCATCATTTACATTAAGTGCAAGCCCTCTAACGAATGACAAACACTTAATTTCCAGATTTGTAAGAGGAGTTCCGTGTGTGTGTGTGTGTGTGTGTGTGTGTGTGTGTGTGTGTGTGTGTGTGTTACTGAGAGAGATATTTAGTATGACTTCACTTCAGGAAGGTCATCATGTAGCAGAGGAACGTGCCTCTTGACATGGACAGCAAGACACGTGGAAACCCCTTTAAAAATAGGGTATTTTTTTATTTCACATGTTTATACTCTTAGCTACACTCGTGAAAGAAAAAGTATTCAGGTTTTCTTTATTGTCATGAAGCAACTGCTTAATTCGGCTTTAATCCAACACATCAATAGTCTATTTTATGAAGTCGAAGTACAATTTAAATCAGAATTACAGAATTACCTCTGTCTTGTATGTATCTTTCGGGAAAAGGACTGAGGGCGACCAGTTGGAAAAGTTGAATTTCTATTAAAAGATGTATTTCTTTAAAAACTTAATTAGAGCCGAATTCAGTAGTAACTACTAATAACTCTTTTATTATCTTAAGTTATCTTTTACCTTATGGGCAAGTCCTCTAATGGATGAAAAACACTTAATTGCCTGATTTAAAAAGGAGGAGATCTGCGTAAAGACTCAAACCAAACAGGGGCGCATCTGGGGGTCTTTAACACCTCCATATGATACTTCCTGCACGATAATCTTGTGATATAAAACAATCAATTGAATAAACCACATAAATCAATAATACATACATCAATACTAAATGTTACGAAATAAAAGTACACTTTTATTCTGAATTCGCCTCTGATCACCAATGTATCTTGGGAAGAGGGCAGAGCGTAAAGTTGAAATTCTACTAAAACATGTATTTCTTTATATACTAAAGTAAAGCCGAATTCAATAGTAACTACAAATAACTATAATAAGCTCTTAAGCAATCTTTTCCCTAATGTATAAGTTGTGTAATGGACAAGAAACACTCAATTGGCTGATTTTTTAAGAGGAGTTCCGCGGAAAGAAGGGGGTCTTCAACACCTCCAGGCGATGCTTCCTGCACCATAATACTGTTGGGGTAAGATATAAATCATATAAATCAAACCATTTTGTGTTTTGTCTTTGATTCAGTAACTAATAATTCACCGCAGATATTAGGGGGACCTGGGTTCATTCATAAAAAAGGAATTGGAAATCCGACCACTCGCCACGCAGACAATCGATGATGAGCCACAAAGCGGATTTACACACTGCACATTAAAGAAAAAAATGACCTAAACCCTAATTTCCAGCCACGAAAAAAAGGGTACAGACAATGCATGTAAGAGCATGTGTAAGTAAAAAAGCAGATGTGTAATGAAGCATTAAAACAGCGCACATTCCTTATGCTACTTTGTCTCTTGTAGGGGGAACAGATCCTCCTTACCTTTTCATTGAGTCGAAGGATTTGGTCCATTTTCTCGTCGTTTTGTAAAAGCTCCTGCAGCTCACTGGTGCTTAAAGCCCTGTACCCGTCAGGACACGTGTTTGCCTCCTTCAAAGTGGACATTTTATTCCTTTTTATTCCTTCAAATAAGCGTCAGGAAACGGTTTTAGGAAACATGAAGTCCGCACAGCGGTGGTTACATTTCGCTCACATCGGAATGCGATCTGCCTGCATACAGCAGCAGAAGAAGAATAGTCAAGCGCCCAAAACTGAACGTAAACCAATACACTTCCGGTCTACGTCTACAAAATAAAACACATTTTTTCTTCCCGCCTCAATGCTCTGAAGAAATGTAGAATGTATGTATTGCTTTTCTTTATGACATGACATTATACAAACAAATAATTAAACTGCATAATTGAAAAAGCCCAACCGTTTTACACATTTCTAAACATCTTAATTCCTGAGTGGACACTTATTTTGTTTTGTTTGTTGTCTGTCCATAATAGATAGATAGATAGATAGATAGATAGATAGATAGATAGATAGATAGATAGATAGATAGACAGATAGATAGATAGTGGTAGGTAAGAGTTTTTTCCACCACTGATCTCATGTTGTTAGGTCCCAACACTTTGACTTTAACCAGCATGACAGCACATTTGACTCCTGAGCATTCAGGAAATTAACTCTTGTTCTTTTTTCTCCCCACAGCTCCACTTCTGCTGACGGCTGCAGCATTTGTTAGCAGACGGCGGTCAGATGCGTAAACTCTGGTTGCAGTGGAAAAGGCGCCTTCTCTTTATTGTGGATTGAGGAAATGTGTCATATTCAGACATGGAGAAGGTTTTGCAATATTATCCCTCCTCCAAACTCTCTTTAAATCTGGAGTACAGTAGGGGGTATTTTCAATCCGGGGATATACCATTTCTCAATTTCAATACAATTTGAAAGTACTTGGACTTTAGAGTTTTTTCATACTCTATACTTGTACTCTACTAGATCTCAGATATAAATATTTCACTTTTTAGTGCACTACATCTGTCTTGAGTTATTTTCAAATTACATTTTACTGAACATTCCTTATTTCCTTTATTTGTAACCTTACAGTTATTACTGTAATGTTGGTTGGGCGTCCAATATATTAAAATCACATTGGTGGTCCAGAGGTCTATGCATTGTTTTCTCATGCAGGAGAAAAGGTTTAAAACCCAGAGGAGAGACAACTTCTGTCTTCTGCTATGCTGATGGTATATCTGGAGGCATTGTCCCCATGTTTATTACACTTTTTTTCCCGCAGTGGATTAAGAAACATGAATCAAAAATAAACTATTTTGCCAAGACAGGCTAGCTGCTTTCCGTGCAATTTCAACCATTAAGCTATGCTAACCTATGCTTATTGTTTTCTTGCTAAAAAGCTTTGTGTTTAGCATATGAGACCAATATTCTAAAAACAACAATCTCAGGAATACAATGTACAGTAAACTTTATTTATAATCTTTGCATCTCTAGTCTTTAAAATCACACATTAAATAGATACATCTCTCTTATTTTCTTTGCAAAAACAGTGCAGGCCATTTGTGTGTTTTCAATAGTTTCTGGACAACAATGGAGCTATCTATAGAGTATATGTTTCCATGTAGATATAACATGTCGTGCAAAGCCAGGCTAGCGGTTTCCCCTCTACTTTTAGCCTTTATGCTGAGCTAATGCCTCCAGCCACAATAGCCTCTTATTTTCTGAAAAAACATGGATAATATTAATAATACCACAGTCAAAGTACCTTTGTTCTGATCTCTCTGCTCAGCAGGGTACAGATATGAAAGTAAAAAAGTCCAATTAAAAGTCATTATTTAAAAAGGATATTCTCTCCCCTTTAAACGCCATTTTATCCCAAGTCGTCATAATCCTCTTCACCATCGTCTTCATCATCGATGTCGTCGTAGTCCTCAGTGGACGCATCGTCTGTTTCTTCATCTGTTTTCCTGTAAGGTGGAGGAAGAATCCTCACCTCAGCCTCCACCTGTACATAGTCGAACGGTTCAGCTGTTCGATTCTCGTAATCGGGCAACGCCTCCTCGTATCCGTCCGACGCCTCCTCGTAATCGGACATGGCCTCCTGGTATTTGGGCATGGTCACCTGGTACACAGGCGTGGACTCCTGGCATTTGGACGTGGTCACCTGGTACACAGGCGTGGACTCCTGGCATTTGGACGTGGTCACCTGGTACACAGGCTTGGACTCCTGGCATTTGGACGTGGTCACCTGGTACACAGGCTTGGACTCCTGGCATTTGGGCATGGCCACCTGGCATTTGGGCATGGCCACCTGGCATTTGGGCATGGCCACCTGGCACACAGGCTCGGCCTCCTCATAGTCGTGTTCGTCAGCCAGATTTTCATAGCTTTGGGCCTCTGAAACAACATATTTCAAATTATGCCAGCTTTCTTTTTATATTGCAAAGTTATAATATATGTATGTAGTAGTTTGGTAGTTGATTGCAGCAGTAATTGTCAGGCCAAAGAGGTCATACTATTAGTTTGTATGTAAATAACGGTATGGATAAAGATACTGATTATTAGTGTTATGTAAATATGATTTGCGGAAGTCTGATGGGCACCATTGTAATTATTTTATTGTGTACATTGATTGAATTTCTTCCAATATTTCCATAAAATAAAACATCTAATAAACTAAGCAAATAGGCTAAAATGCAAAAACCAACAAAAAATATAAAAAAACATATATACACACTGATACTATATCAAGTTTAAACCCAAAAATAACTGATTATTTTCGTAAAAATAAATACAGCAAATAGACTTTTTCGTGGAAGAAAATGACTCATGTATTTTTAAAGATAGCTGGTAGTTAATGATTTTCAAAAATGCATCAAAAGTTGACTAATAGTCCTTTAAAGCTGCTGTGTATCCATTACATTACATTACATTACATTACATTACATTGCATTGCATCCACCCACATGTTGCTTTAAAAAAATATATATTTTGGTCTAATTTTACTCTTTAAATGGCTTTACGGTACTTTGTCTACACATCTTTCTCAAACTGGTTCAGTTATGCAATATCTGTGGTTATGTTTGGGATCTGAGTTTAGTTCTTGGGGCTTTGGAGAAAAAAAGCTTGAGAAAAAAGAAGATATTTTCACAGCCCTTTATGATAATTGAACTGTCACCAGTGGTTTGGTTTTGTCAAGACAAATGCATGTCGTGCCACAGATAAGACAGTGGGTTATTGTCAAATGGTAGATGGGATGACATGTAATGAGGTTTTGTACGGCCATTGTTACAATGTGGTGTAAAAAATGAGTAGAAGACGTGCGGTTTAAAGAAGAAGAAGGAAGGATTTGTCTTGCCTGCTATGAGAAACTGTGTCCGAGGAGGTAAAGGCGGCGTCTCAAGCTGGTATTTGTTGCTTCTGAGAATTAAAGAAAACGAAACTGCATTTTTCTTTAAAACTGTGACATAAAATAAACAGTTCCACATTTCAGTGAATAAGCTTAATCATGTTCTTGCAGGGAGTTAGACGAGAAGATTGATACCACTCACATGTGGTTATATTAAATGTGAAGCTACAGCTGGGTTAGCTTAGTTTAGCATGAATGCTGCATTCATGGGGTGGAAGATTAATCGGTTTATTCCAGATACATTTAAAAAATATATATATATATATATAATATAATAAAATACAATAAATTAAAATGAAATTGAGAAAAATAAATAAAAATTCAATAAAATAAAATACATTCTAAGATTTGGCTAGAGCCAGGCTAGCTGTTCCCATCTGTTTCCATTGCTTATGCTAAGCTAAGCTAACTGCATCATATTTAAAAGACAGATTTAAGTTTGGTATCAATTTTCTATTCTAACTCTCGTCAAGAAAGATGATAGCTGTGTCTTATGTAATGTAAATCTTTCTCGTTTACAGTTTACAAAGATCTTACTTTGAACAATACATGAATTTAATATCAAATATGAAAGATATTAAGTAAATAAAATGTACATTACTTGATAGTTAAGTCAGACTTGTTCCTGTGAAGCTGTGTGATTCTGTGTCTGCCTGTGGAAAAATAAAAAGGACACGCAGTTAGATTTACTCACATTGAAAATGATCAATCTTTAATAAAATGTAAATGCTTTTTAATGAACTCACTGCCCAAGGATATAAGAATGGCAGGCTCTTCTTAATTTTCAAAGGAAATTAAATACTTTTCATTTCATCTGTCTTTTCATTGTTAAGAAGATATACTTTATTCATCCCTTACAGGGACATTTCTTTCCCCACTCTGTTGTGTTTACACACATTACACACGCAGGGGAGGATATACATGCACACACACAACCACATGCAGATAGGAGAAGTGGCAGAGCAGAGAGGCTGCCAGATACCCAGCGCCAAGGGAACAGTTTCGAGGTTAGGTGCCTTGAGGGCCTTGGAGGTGAACTGGCACCGCTCCAGCTACCAGCTCACTCCATATTATGTTTTGTNTGCCTTGCTCAAGGGCACCTCGGCAGTGGCCTTGGAGGTGAACTGGCAGCTCTCCAAATACCAGCTCACTCCATATTATGTTTTGTGGTCCGATCGGGACGTGAACCAGCGACCCTTCGGTTCCAAGACCAAGTCCCTACAGACTGAGCCACTGCTGCCTTAACCTCCAATCATTGATTTTTACATTATTTATGTTTACTCTTATTTATTTTGTATAGCTTGTATGTATTATAGCCTCCATTGGCTTCCTGTCCATTTTAGAGTTAATTTTAAGTTTCTATGGTTTGTTTTTAAATCACATGATGGTCTGGCCCCAGAGTACATCTCCGTCCTCTTACAGGTGTACACCCCCTCAAGGGCTTTGAGGTCGGCTGATCAGCTGCGGCTGGTAGCCCCTAAAACCAGGACAAAGACCAGGGGAGACCGAGCCTTCTCAGCGGTAGCAGCCAGGCTCTGGAACGACCTGCCCCCTCATGTCAAATTGTCGCCCACTCTTGAAGCTTTTAAGTCCCGCCTAAAGACCCACCTCTTTTCCCTCTCTTACGAGTCAGTCTGAGCTATAGTATGTCACTACCTAGTTGTATGCTTTTATTTTCTGTCCATAGCCTTTATGTGCCTTGTATTTGTTTGGTTCTTTATTTACTTGTAGCTCTCAGTAGGACATGAGGAAACCTATAACAATTTTGCAAAATTCTTAAAGTATTCATGGTTTTATTATGAACAATCCTCTCTAATAATTCTCAGTTATATTCTTCCTGCTTTATTTGCTCTGTGTTTATCCACATCCTAAAATCAGCTGGTTTCTGTTCAGGGGTTATTAAAGTCAGGCTGATGAAATCCACCATTACAGTAATAATAGCATTTCATTCAATTTTTATAGTTTTCCTTCTGCTTTGCAATACCAGGTTCTTTCTTAAGGGTTTGGTTTCTCTTCCTGTCATGGGTTTTAAATTCCACTTATTACATATCGGTTTTTCAGTAAACAAAAAAAACAGGTAGTTAACAATATCAAAAGTGAAACGTATGTCTTTTGCAAACTTGTTTTTAATATAAATGTAACTTTTATTTGTCAAATCTTTTTGAACAGAGCTTTGTAAGCATGTTTTTATGCTGGCAAAACACATTTACAAGTATTAAACTTCCAATTAAGAGTGAAACACTGTACTTATACTGTAAATATGACTTTACTTTATTATTGATCTGCTTTATTTAGGCTACTTTAACCATATGGAAATGTATAAACAGCACATTAATCAAACTATCCGAAGAAAATGTTAAAATTAGCTCCACTTTGATCGACTTCAACTTTAAAACGCTAAAATGGGATTTTTAATTAGCACTCTCGTAATTAATTGATTACCTGACTACTTAATTAATTATTGATGACTCAGTGACTTGATGTCTTGATTGAGAAATTAAATATTTCAGTGCCTTAATGATAGGTTAATTAGTCGATTGATTTCATGATTGTTTGATTATTCCATTAATTGTTTACTTTTTATTTACAGAGTGTCCTTGGCATTTTAGGCAGCGTTTAATATTTTAAACTTACACTTCTGCTTCTGAAGAAAAAATATCTGAGAACATCTGGATTATATCTGATAAAGAGGAAAACAATTGAATAAACGCTCATTAAATAAAAATCAACTTGTTGTTATCGTATAATAAAAGGCAAAAAAGGAGGTTTTGAAGTGCAAAATGATGCCATGTCTGATACATATCACCCACCTTGTCTTGATAACCATTGGTTGATGCAGAAGAAGACGACGGCGATGAGCAAAGACACAGAAATACTCCCAAGAATCACCCACAACCAGAGGTACTTGCGTAAAAGCTCCATGGACGTTCTGCTGGACACAACAACAATAAGTATTTGTTTTTAAAAATCACACTAGACGTGTTGGAAAGCTGAGAACTATGTTTGAAGTTGCTGCTTTTCAGTTTACAGAACTGTGCATCGGAAAGACACCACTTCACCACTTCCCCTTTTTGCGCGTTGACTAAGCCTTAAAGTTATTTTTGTGTTTACTTTTGACACTGACAAGCAAATCAGCTTTTTGAGAATCTCTAGGGAGTTTCTTTCTTTTGAAAAGGAGAGAAATGTGACGGCTGTTCCTCAGGATATCTGACCCCGTGCTGACATTATTAACAGGCGTTTATTAACTGTGTTGTTTGTAGCTAGACAGACTTTTGTTTTGTTTTCCCCTATCTAAATGAACACAAGCAAATAAAGGCTATTATTTCCTGTGTATCTGTGTTCCACATATCCTCTCTTTGCAACAGCTTCCTGTCAACTCTTAATAAAAACACGGACCGATACTGCTGGATGGATAAAGTGATATTTGACATGGATGCACATTCAAATGTTAGATTATGTTCCTCAAAACCAACCAAGTGATGTTTATAGTAGACGTGAGGCCAAATATAAGCTTTTCAAACTAATTCATCTTGCGTTCACATGTCTTAATTGTCTCTCAAATGACTTTGTATTCAAAATATTTTGACTGAACATGAACTTTTTCAGTTTGAAATAGTTAGAATGTGCCTTACCTTTTCAGAAAACAGTCTTCAAGGCTTTAGAAGTTCCTTAAACAGATAATGAAAGCGGATGGCGGGATGTGAAAATGGTCGTCTTGGGTGGTATTTGCATGACAGTTTCAAATTTTCTTAGTCAATCAAAGAAACTTGAAGGCTAGGATGGCATTATCCCCTCCCCTCTCTCTCCCTCGCTCCAGTGACTACAGCATGAGTGTATGTGTGTGTGGTGTGTGTGTGTGTGTGTGTGTGTGTGTGTGTGTGTGTGTGTGTGTGTGTGTGTGTGTGTGTGTGTGTGTGTGTGTGGGGTGTGTGTGTGTGTGNTCCTTTTTTTATTTCCTGCTTTTTAAACACATGTGCTCTCCAGTAGAGGTTAGCTCTGAGTGTTAGCGAGGCTAGCTAATGTAAACAAAGACGAGATTACGTCCAAAACACGTCAGGCATTGTTTCTGATAGCAACTCTCTGTGGGTTCACCATCCAAAATTACGTCATATCGGACGCAAATCTGTATCCGCTCGTTGTACCCCCGTTTTTAAAAGATGTGGGTACGGAGGAAAAGAGAGAGGGTTTTATTTTCTGACGCTGCGTGAGTTCCCCGACGCACCGGGGACACATCTTTATGTATAAAAGACATCAAAAAGTGCATTTTGCATGATAGGTCCCCTTTAAAGCCTCATTATTACACTTGTTGGATTCACAATGACAAACTACACGAGGAAAATGCTCTTGGTATATTTGTTTACACAACTGGTTAAATTGAGTGTTAAAAGTAACGAAGTTAAGTTGAATTCATGTAACATTTTTCCTAAACTCTCATTTAACGGCACAGAGCTGCTGAAACCCTGCAAGTGTAAATTCATAAAGATCCTCATCACATTGCTCTCATGTGATGTTTGTTAAGGTGTGTAGCTGCCATAGACTGTATATATAATACACACAAAAAAACAGACACTCTTTCTTACATTTTAAAAGCATTTGTTGGCCATTAGTAAAAAATATGAGATTTTATTTTTAAATTCCGTTTGTTTTTTATGTAAAATCTTCTGCAAACAAGTAACAGATAATATTTCTATACTTTTACCTAATTTGAGATTGACTCCGGGATGTAGGTGTTAGATTTGGTGTTTTTACTTAAGTCAAAAGTACTTTTTTCTCCATATTCTGTAACCATGCACACATCTCCTCCCACAGTCAAGTCTTCCAACAAGTAAAACATGCAACAACAACAAGTCTTTTTCTAAATAATCTTTTTTGTTGGGTTAAATATGACCTCACTTTGAGCTGATGTGATCACAACACTGGCAACTGGTGGTGGAAGAAGTACTTTACTTATTTAAAAGAAAACCGAGCTTTTACTTTGAAATTCCACACATGTTAACATGAAATCTACTGTAACAAGTAACGGATAAGACTGCTTTGTTTTTAGTTTGAATGCAGGGTTGAAGTTTAGTTTAAACATTGCTGTAGTGTTATTTGTTTTAGTATGTGTTAGCCATGCACACATTAACTTAACTTTGTATACAACATTTTTTTCAAAACGTTCAAGTTTAAAACATTTGTTAGAGAAATAATCAAATGCCACAAGCTTGACAAATCTGACGAAGTAGATGTTACAGTTCTTAAGCAATTGTCTATAGTCTACTACTTTTTCAGAGAAACCATCCCAACATTAACCTGTAGTGGAAGAAGTACTTAAAGAAACTGAGCTTTTATTTTGAAATCTCATGTGTTTTTAATGTAAAATCTGATGCAAACTACTAGCTGATAAGACCAATGTACGTTACCTTAGTTTAGAGATTGATGCAGTATGTATGAGTCCTTTTAAAATGCTAAATTCATGTATTTTAAGTAAAGTAATAAATATTTCATTATTATTTTGAAGCCATGCACACATCTGCTCCCTCAGTCCTCCAACATGCTTTAAGTGTTTTTATAGAGTTGAACGTTACCTCACTTTCAGATGATCTCTAGTCTTCACAGAGCCTGCTGACCATGTTGATCTCACATCCTCCGCACACACACACACACACACACCCACTCACTGTCTGATCGATTGTGACCAAGTGAAACACCGCAAGCCTCACACACACACCCACACACACACACCACACACACACACTCACACACCGACCCTCCTCTCAGCTGACTGTGTTCACCGCCGTCCAGCCATCACATCCTGTGAGAATATCCTGCATCCCCCCTCCCAACGCTGTGGGGAAATGCCTTATAAGGGGGTGGGGGAGTTCAGTTTTATGCGCCAACTTCAAGGAGACAAATCCCCTCCTCCTCCTCCTCCTCTTGCAAAAAAAAAATACCCTCAATCAATCCTAAAAGAGGCTGGGATGTTCTCACACACTAAAGTGTATCTGGAATTTGGGGCATTTTAAACAGTCCATGTTGTCTCTTTGCTTAGCAACCTTTTATGGGTAATTGTTTAAAATAAGAGAGTGATTTTCCCAAAAATGGCAACTAGCAGTTTTGGGAGAAGCACTTTACTTAAGTAGAAGTATGAATACTTCCTATCAGAAATACGTTAGAGCACATGTGTCAAACTCAAGGCCCGGGGGCCAAATCAGGCCCTTGGTGGATTTAATTTCGGCCCGCAGGATAATTTCTAATCACTATTAGATCTGGCCCGCCGGTATATTGCACGCACACCTTCA